GTTGACTTCGGATTTGAAGTCGTCCAGTTCTTTTGGTCATGAGTTTGCCTTGGGCATTGACCTTGGAATTGAGTTTGGCTTGGCCGTCTTTTAAATCTCCCACTTCCGCGGCTAGACCGGAAATGGCGCTACTTGTCATTAAATCCTTTAAATGGTCAAGAGCAACCTCGACCGGAGCCAAAGCAACACTTAAAGTAGTAGCTGCTCAACTAGTAAAAACGCCACCACTTTGAAGGGCAGGAACACCAATTCTCCTAATACCTTTAATTAAGTCATCCAACACCCCAAGAGCAAAAGAAGAACCACCACTTTCGGCTAATTCAGCGACAGTTTTTTCGGGGGCAAACTAGCATAAAACTCCGCTAGTTGTCCATCTAAACAAATTGATACTTGCTTCCCCGCCTGACCCAAGGGACACTGGTGGGTTAAAGTGGGGTTTTGTTGATAAGAGTTTAAGTTTTGGCGGAACAAATCATTCAGGTTGCGATAAGTATAATTACCAGCGTTATGTTGACTGGTTAAGAAATTTTGACATTTAATTAATAAGGCGGGACTAAGCCGACAGAGGGACTGTCCCCACTAACTAATATCTCTCATATTATATTTATTAGGTTTTTAATTTTTGCTAAAAAGAAAGTAGCAAATATCGCCTTCTTTTATCAGATAATCAACTCCTTCCTTGCGGACTTTCCCAGCCTTTTTTATCTCCTCCGGGCGGAGAAATTGGCACCAATCAGCATAGTTATAAACCTCCGCACGAATAAAGTTTTTTTGAATATCGGAATGGATTAGTCCCGCGCAGTCGCGAGCCTTCATTTCATTGGGGGCTAATCAACTTTTAGTTTCGTCCTCACCAGTGGTAAAAAAAGTTTTTAAGTTTAATGCTTCTTTAATTTTTTCGGTAAAAAGAGAAAAATCAGTATTTTCTCAACTTATTTCTTTTTTTTCTCCCTCCGTCAATTTTTCCATTTCTCTCTCTATTTTTACTGCCAAAGGAAAGAAAAATAATTGCTTTTCTTGTGCATATTTTTCCATCTCTTTAATTTCTTCTTTATCTCCACCATAATTAGCCAGTAAAAGAGTAGGCTTATTAGTCAGAAAATTATAACCTTTTATTAGTTCTTTTTCTCCCTTAGTTAAACTTAATTGGTTAACTGATATTTCTTTTTCTAAGTTGGCTTGAATTAACCGCAAAATATTTTTTTCTTTTTGGGATTTTTCGTCTCTGACTTTTAATTTTTCTAATTTTCTTTTTACTTGCTGTAAATCAGCCAAAATTAATTCTAGTTGAATTATTTCCAAATCCCGTAGCGGATTAACTGATTTTTCCACATGCACTATTTCTTTTTCGGGAAAACAACGAAGCACTTGGCAAATTAAATCTACCTCGCGAATATGGGATAAAAACTCATTACCTAATCCTGAACCCTCTGCAGCACCTTTTACCAAGCCAGCAATATCCACAATTTCAATTACACTGAGAGTAGTTTTTTTACTTTGCCAATATTTACTTAATTTTTCCAAGCGGGGGTCAGACAAAGGCATTATTCCAACATTCGGGTCAATAGTAGCAAAAGGATAATTAGCAATTAAAATATCTTTTTTAGTTAAAAAATTAAATAAAGTAGACTTACCGACATTAGGTAAACCAACCAGACCAATTTTAACGGACATATATATAGAAGATTATTAGCATAAATTAATAAAGGTAATATGAGTTCAAGTAGATTTAGTTGTGGGCTTCACTTACGAAGGGAACATTGAAAAGGCAAGAAAGTATGGATAAATTGTTTAGAATGCCAAATCTATTATGCTTTTTTGTGCGTATTTACTTTGTATACCTGAAAAATATATAATAAACATCAAATCATCTTTTTCCTTACCACCAAGAGCAAGCCAAGGCGAGCAGGTGGACAAAAAGAGTGCTTTATTACCGAGTCTGCTTTGAACTAACCAAGCCGCCCCCGCCTTTACAAAATGCGTTGAGAATTACTTATTACCTAGCTAATTTTCTCACCTCCTTAAAAATTTAGCCATTAACTAAAAATGATAATAGTCTTTGATAAATTATTTACTGAGTGTATTCATGATCCAGTTTTACATAATCGTTTACGGGAAAA